AAAAAAAAAAAAAAAAAAAAAAAAAGAAGGGGAGAAAAACGGATCTTGCGGCTCACGACGTGCGCGTGTAGGAAAAGGTTGGGGGAGTTGGAGAAAGGGAGAACGAGGCAGTTGGGAGGAGGAGGACCTACTCCTCCCAAACTGACAAACTGCCTTCCTCGTTTTCAGGGGAAGGCAGAGGGAAAAGTGGAGGGCTGTTGCATGCAACAGCACGGAACCTGGCTGAGGTAAAAGCCAGGTTCAGTAGGAATTAGAAAATTAGTTTTTTTTTCTTTTTCTTTTTTTTCTTGTGAGGACACTTGTCCTCACGTGGTGCTACCTCTGGTAGAAGCTGCCAGAGGTAACTGTCAGGCTCCCGTTTTTAGAGGAAGCCTGGAAATTGAAGGGCCATAAGGAAAAAAGGCTAAGTCCAGCCTTTTCCCCGATGTATCTGCCCTGGAAAAAGGGTCCAGATACATCAAACAATAAGGGGTTGTAACTTTCCAACCCCTTATCAGAAAAATAAAAGAAAAACACTTTTGGAAATGGCATGAGACCAGCTATCTCGCCAGATTCCGAAATAGCTGGGAAAAATAAAAATAAAAATAAAATAGGGTAGTTAAAGAAAATGCCCCTCACTAAGGCTGTGGTTGTGGTACAGCCACAGTCAGCCCTGGATCTAGGCCAGATCAAGGGCTCTCTGTGAGTCCGCGTTTTTGCTTGGGGGCTGGAGTGACGTCCAGCACCTCCTCAGCCACTATAAAACAGCCAGCTGCCCCCATCTGCCACACAAAGCATTCGTGCTGCCAGTGTGTGACGGGCACACTTGAGTGTTGTGGCTGCTGGAGCTGCTGCTGGGGCAACGTGAGGAGGAGCTGGAGGACTGCAGAGGAACACCAGGAGGAGGACTGGGCAGCCATAGCCAAGGCAGGGAGCACTCCGGTCCCCTCCCCTTTGGCTGGTGCTGGTCCCACGGGACAGGCCCAGTGGCATTGCGGTACTACGGCAGGCGGCACCGGCTCTTTACTGCGGTAGTACGGAAGTGCTGCCGAAATTCTGCAGCGGCGGCACCGACTTTTTTCAACGGTGGTGCGAGAGCGCTGCCGGATTTTCAAGGCGGCAGTTCTGGTTTTATCGGCGAGGGTGCGGTAGCGCTGTCGGAATCTTTTCGACGGTGACTCCGGTTTAACCAGCCGTGGTGCGGGAGCGCTGCGACGAAGCGAGGTTACAGGCGGTAATATTTCTACATTAAGCGGCAGTTAAACCTTGGTATAGGGGAGGTGCCGCTGGAGTAGGGGATCAGAAGTGGCGTGAGTTTTGATGGCATGGTGACGCAGTGGCAATGAAAATCAGTGGCGGCAATACTTATTGAAAGATAGTGAGGAGACGTTGTGACAGGTGGTTGTGGTAAAAGGAGTGTGACAGAGGAGCATAATTTTATATGGCTTTTCTTGAGTGAGCCGCTATTATCTTCAGTCCAACTTCACTCAAGGTCAGTCAATCACTTAAATTGACTCAGTTCCCTTCACACCTGAGTGAACCCACACTTGCTTTGACCTGTTTTTCACTGAATGTTCATTGAAAAAGGGAAGAGGATGTGTGTTCTTGCGTGTATGACTGGGAGTCTGACAATGGTAAAGGAATGCATGGTGGTCTGTGTGTCGTTGGGTTTTGACTGCAGGTACGACATGTGGACTGAAATGGATGAGGGTTATGGCGGTGAAAGAATGGTTGACTTTTCATCTTTGTGCTTGTGTTCTATGTATAAATAAAAAAAAGAGAAGACGACGAGAAACGAAGCGAGCATAAGGAAGAGAAGTTCAACTTGGTTTAGACTTGTTCCTGAGGTTACCCATTCTTTCCCAAATAACCCTCTTCCATCTATGTCTGTCAGTCTGAATGATTCTATCTTTCTACGATTCCTCTTTCTTCGTCTAAGTTTACTTTGACGCTAGGCGGCAAGACTTTACTTGTCTGCCTTGTAGGTGTTTTCTCTTTTTCCTAGGAGGCATCTGGGGCGGGGGTTCGTTGCCTTAGGGGTCGGCCCTGTTATCGACTCAGAGTGGACCGCTTTGCGGGGGCATCTGGGGCAGGGGCTCGACTTCTGAGATCCGAGTTTTGTACTCGGGCGAGGAGGAGTATCCCAGACCAGGTCTTAGGGTAATGGAAAAGGCATCTACACGGAAGAAAATTATTTCTTGACGCCTTGCAAAAAAGGAAAATTGCCTTAGCAATCCTCTTTTAAGTGGTCATCCTAGGTACCACTACCGTATGGAGAGTTGGCGCCACAAGCAGCCCGACTCATGTCCTAGTAGCTGAACGGAGTACGGTTGGATACTCCTGACGTGGTTGGTCGTGTCATAAGAAACACGGGCCGTAAGGAAGACAAAAACCGAATAATACGCAAGGGCAAAAATTTAACTCAAAACACATTTGTCCTCTTTTTCTTTCAGATGGCTATGGGAACCACTAAACTATTCCTTTTCAACAATCGTGATGCGGCAGCGGAGAGAGTTGAACTCCAAAGGCGTGATGGAGTGAGGGTAGAAAGGGTAGGCCGACATATTTATAATCCGTCAGAATTATATTCTGAGGAGGACGTTCCGCGATTTTGGGGTGGTAGTGCGCAAAGACCTCCCAGGCGACTTGTTTTCAGGAGTGATAGCGGCCTGGATATTCTTCATTACGAGTTCGCACCGCCATTGCCCAAGCGTCACTTCGTCAATATGAACCTGGTGGTGTTGCAGCCCTATGAGATCAACACACGAGTGGACGAAATCCCTGAAATAAGGTTGATGTTCGTCCGTTACGTGCTTTGGCTGAACGAGCGACAAGGCCCATTTTTTGGCATATACTACGCGGAGCGGATACGTGCCAATAGGTACGCAATTATAGGGGCTGAAGCATTATATGGTGATGAATTGAAAAATGAAGCGGAAGAACTCGAGGAATTTTTACGTGACTGATTTGGATTCGTTCTGATACACAGATGCCTGGAGCACGACAAGACTTGACGATCCCGAGGTATGTGCTGGTCCGTGATACACCCGAGGAGGATCTCATCAGGAGTGCAGCGCGACTTTTACGAGTACGAGATGAATCCCCTATCGACTGGTTTGGCTTCGTTGGACTGCTTCGAAGTGGCAAGGGATTTTTCCCTAATACTCGCGCGGATTTCAGAGCAAACATGGATCGAACTTCCGACGAGCTTTACGGTTATACTTTGTATTTCCACCGCACGAGTAACCTCCAATGTCTCTCTCGAGTCATTGTGAGTATCAAGATTACCTCGTCCGGTAGGCGTTTTGGCGTCGTCCGGATCCGGGACACAGAGACTCGACACCTGTTTGGACTTAGTCGACCTCTCCGAGTTATAGTTTGGAGACTAGCCTCTGGGATGGCCTCCTTCTATAATACTCGGATTGTTAGAGTCATGCGATGTGGACGAAGGTCTACTTCGATTTTCGACGACGACGAGCTGGCACGTTTGGATTTATTGGAAGCACAGGTACGCGGCGGGCGAGAGATTTACCAGGATTAGACATCGTCTTCTGAAATCTTACTCAGATTTCAGAAAACACTTCGCATGGACTCAGTCCCGTTGAGGAAACCATATAACTTATGGTTTCACGATGTAATCTAAAAACAAAAACAAAACACCTTACGTAGTTAGGACCGCCATAATATTCTGATTACCCCGATGATTTCACTATCATGCTTATGCATTGAGGGGTAATCGTTCGCATAAAAATAAGTTGGATAAAGTGAAAAGCGAACGTCTGAAAAAGTTGTCAAGCAAAGCAGCCGAAGATGAAACATTTCTGTGTTGCGTATACTTCGTACTTGGGAGATCAGCGCCCCAGGGAACGAACGACGCACAGGTTCATTCGGCGTTTAGTCAAATAGTTCCTATACTGCAGCGAGACGAGCAAACGCCCTCGGCTGATCTACCTCTTCGCACGTGGATCAGTAGCTCAGTAGGGATACGCCCCTAAGGGTGGTGACAGCCCCTTAGGGATGCAAGCTTATGCCCCACGGGAACCTGTCCTGTCGTAGGGGACCGTGGGAAGTATAGCTGGTGCACCTGGCTAGAGCGGCAAAGGAGCGAAGCAACCGCGTCCGTCTCGGCGGTTCACGGAACAGTATGCGTCGTTCCTGAGTTGTCTCTAAAAGTTATGTTATTAGGTACACTCCTGCGTGACATGGCCGGGAGAGCCCTCGTTTTCACGCGAGGGCCGATGCGCACGACAGGTGGCGCCGTTCCCGGGGAATACGGCAAACTACCGTTGTCCCTAGCGGAACGACACTTGGGTGATTTATGAAGTAAAAAGGTATTTTCTTTTTCTTGTTTGACCTCAGAAAAAGTTAGTAATTTGATCCCAAAATTATGAGATATTATTGACTGATTTCTGTTAATAATGTTGTTGTTTTTCTTCACTCAAGATGGCTGGTAACAACGATAATTAGGATGGGAGAAGCAATGACATTCGGGAGCTTGCAATAATTATTCAGCAATCCCAGAAGGATCAAATCCCGAAGATTGACGTTCCATTGTTTGATGGTAACAACGCCTCGGGATGGGCAGAAAAGTTCGAGCAATTGGGAAGTTGCTGCGAATGGTCGAATGAAAAGATGCTGCGAATGGTGAAGAGATATTGCAAGATCCAGTACAAGGAAGAGGTGGAGGAGTTGATACAAGATTCGTTGAACTGGGCAGAATTCAAAAGGAAGCTGCTAGAAAAATACCAGTTGAGCGATCAACTGTTGGACTTGATCGATTCGAGGAAGGTTAGTCGGAAAAGCTTTGGTACAACAAAGCAGTTCCTTACTGAATTCGAGTGGGTGGCGAAATTAGTTCCTGACCTTCCAGATAAAGATCATTGCCTCATCTTCCTGGATAATTTCACGGAAGTGGAGCAACTAAAATTGGTAAAGGGAATGAAAGAGCGATATGATTGGCCAAAAATTCGAGAGAATTTATTGGTCGGGAACTTTGATCAGATCCTCTACCAATTGCTGAAACAGCAGAAGGAGAATCGAGAGAGGATACTGTTGGGAACAGATAAGGACAAAGTCTATAAAACCTTATATGACATGAAGGAAATGATGACAAGCATGAAAGAAGAGCGGTTGAAGCTTCAAGTGATGATGGCTAAGGCGAAAACTGCGAAGAGAAAAGGGAAGGAGCCTGTCACTGAAGAGAGTAGCAGTGAGAGTGAAAGCGAGGAGGAATGGGAACCCCCTCGTAAGTTGACCAAGGCTGAAAGGAAAGCCTTGAACCAGATACGAGGAGGGCAAGGTACTTCTCGTAAACAAGGAGAAAGCAGCAGGAACGAAGGAAATGGAAGCGGGGAGCGACAGGTTGACCAAGGACAACAAAATCAAGTTCAACAGACTCAACCACAGGGTGGTCGAGGCTGTGGTAGAGGCTACGGAAATGGGGGCGGACGTGGGAACTGGCAGGAATACGTCTGCAAATATTGTGATATGAAGGGACATGTTATTCGTTTTTGCCAGATTCTCGCCAAGGACGAAAAGGACCATGTCGTCTTCACAACGATTCGAGGAGAAGTCTTTGACTTCGAGGGAAACCTCAACGATTCGAGGGAACACCCGAACATGTTCGGATGTTTGGAAAAGCTCCGAACATGTTCGGTGTGCTACACAACCCAGAATCACTGTCAGGTAGTCAGACAGGGTGCAACCTAGGACTGTAAGTAGAAGGTCAAAAGAGCACAAAGAGTAAGTAGCGACTGATGGAATCCAGTAATCAACCAAGATGCATCGAATTACTGATAAAGTTATTTTTAGACTCCTACTACTGACACTGGCACTGCAGGACCCGGTATGCCCCACTATGGGTGAGGCGAAGTACAAATATCATTATCACTGACTCAAAACATCAAATCTAGTAAAGCGCTTTCAGACACTGACTCAATATTGAATTGTGATTTCAGGGTGACTGACAGATTGAAATTTTGACGGACAAAACCTAAGATATGACAAACCCTAGCTTCCCCAGGTGCTGTCTATGGCAGCACAGAATTCAGAATTTCATTATTACTGACAGATAGACCCCGAACTATCCCATTCACAGTATGTATTGAATCACAATACTGTAAAACAGTCAGAGATGCAATTTGAGACAGAAAGGGGGTCAAACAGAGTCGATAGAAGTCAAAGTAGATAGGTAGGAGAAATAGCTATGGTTGTCAGGCAGTGCGATTTTCCATTCTCCACTGACTACAGACATACAATTTCGATTTCCCCAGTCTAATGACGACTATCACAATCGCTATAGAGACTTGAGTAAGGAACACACTTACTTCAGGGCAACACTCTTGCAGAAGAAGCTAGGGCCTCTCCCTGCCCGGCTATAGGCTATAGGACCGTCTATCAGCGTAGGCCCATCGGGCCTGTGTGTCCTAGGGGTAGCCCGGGTCTACTATTGGCAGTTAGGGTCGCTGTAGGAAATTCGAGTTAGTACGGGGCCGATATTTACTATATTTACAAATATGTCCCTCACAAATTTTCCTTATAGGTAGGTCTCTCAGTTAGCCCTTAGCCAAACCAAATTACGAATCTATCCTTACCTATGGTACAGCCTCGTCAGAGAGAGGCGACAGGCAACCTGGAACCAGCAAGTCATTGCACAAGCGGACCAACCCATAACCAGCAGAATATGTCTGGAAGGCGGATCGACAAGTATAAAAGTCCAGCAGCACCTGGGCATCAACACAATATGCTTTGAACTCAATGTGGAAGCGCTGCTGCGGTCTTGTGCGTGGGAGAGGTGACTCGGCGGGGGAGAGCAAGTGTAGAGCAGTGGAGACAATGACATTGGGCGCCATAGTTGTAGTATGAGAGAGAGGAAGAGAGGAAGACATTCTGATGGACGAGAGAGAGAGAGAGAGAGAGAGAGAGAGAGAGAGAGAGAGAGAGAGAGAGAGAGAAGAGGGAGAGAGAGAGAGTCTTACCTGCATGTTGAGTTGAGCGGCCATAGGTGCTGGTAATGGAGAATACGACCAAGTTTGTGTTGACCATTGAGACTCTTTTCGACTTTGTGTGACATCTGTGCGTGCTGTGTGAAGCGGGATTTGTATCCGAGTGTTTCATGCATGGTGGTCTCATTCCAATGGTATCAGAGCAGACTCTCTTTGTCTTCTAAGTGGCGTTTAACCTGAAGTCGGCGGACTTGGTAAAAGGTCGACGGGCGTTGACCCGAGTGGCGGGGGCAAGGAAGCACAAGGGAGGAACGAAGAAGAAGTGGTCATGGTGAGGGGACATGCACCTGCGACTAGGCATGGAGCGACGATGAGAACCTTCATCGACATCGAAGTGAGGTGCTTTCGAACCCCACCCTTGTACGTTGCATCGTCGGTTTTCAGTTTCTAGAGGTATCAGTCTCCTTGAATGTGCGGCTGTCATTTTTGTTGTTGCCATGAGGTTGCACGTTGTAGATAGGTAGGGCTGGACAGCTGGCAGGCGACCACATAAAGTAGCAAACTTGGGAATGGAGTGGTGGGCAGTGGTTAAACAACTCGGCTAGCCCTAAGACGGGTGCTGACCGGCGTGCGAGTGAACCATTTGACTCAGCGAGGGGCCAGCAAGTCTGGAGAAGGGAACAAGTATCTCACGGCAAGCAACGCCATTCTGATTGTGACGTTAACGAATTCTCGAGGACATTGCGGGCAGTCCTAAAATTGTTGGTCAGCTTGCCGGTCATACTTGTGACATGTAGTGGAAACCCGACGTCAGAACTGTAGGAGTGGTCAAAGTCAATCCCCTGGAGTCAAAGTGAACACCTTGAATGGTAGGTCAAAGTTTTGATATTAGGGTTAGGTCTAAGTGGCAGGAGGTTTTTGGAATGGGACCTTTCCGGGATTCGTCGAGGGAGGAAGGCAATCCAGTATCGAATTGGGGGGGGCTTCCAAGACAATCTAAGGGGCCGGGTATAGTCTTGGGAGTGAGAACATGACAGCTAGGGTTGGTACTGTCTTGGGAGGGGGATTTTGTATGTTTTGTTGTACAACATGTGCTACGCACAACAGGTCACAAGGCGTTTGCCCTGTGACCTGTTTGTGAGCGTGAGGCTTGGTAGAGAGATCTGGGGACTCATCGAGGGAGGAAGGCAATCCAGTGGCGAACTGGGGGGGGCTTCCAAGACAATATAAGGGGCCGGGTATAGTCTTGGTAGTGAGAACACGACAACTAGGGCTGGTATTGTCTTGGGAGGGGGATTTTATATGTTGTGTTGTACAATCTGTCCTGCGCACGTAGCACATAACTAATCAGCATTAATCATCGATTAGTACTATGTACATGATGGGGAGACAGAGGGCTGTCTTTAAAGATCCAGGACAGGCATAGTACATCAGTAATCATACTATGTCAAGCTTATCTGGCTTCTAGACATCCTAGGCGACATCTGGTTTCCTTTCATATTGGATACAGGATTTCGGAGGTGGTTGAATCCTGGCCGATGCCGCGTAGAGCTGTGGTGTTTTGTGCTCTTGGTTTGCCGATGCCAAAATGACTCTGTCTGGTGCTGGGGCATTTGACCTATGACCTGTTTGTAGAAGGAGTGTGAGGCCTGGTAGAGAGATCTGGGGATTGGTCGAGGGAGGAAGACAATCCAGTGGCGAACTGGGGGGGGCTTCCAAGACAATCTAAGGGACCGGGTATAGTCTTGGTAGTGAGAACACGACAGCTATCGCTGGTATTGTCTTGGGAGTGTTGTGTTTGGTATAGGGGAGGCTAGGAGTTGCTCATGGATTGTGAGGCTAGGCTTTGCTGATGTAGTTCATAGTTTTCTATAGCTTATCTTAGATTAGCATCATCATCAGCAGCAGCAGCAGCAGGCTTATTATCATCAGTATCTTCATCATCATCGTCTTACTATCAGTAGCATCAGTGACATCATGAGGGACGCTGCCCCCGGTTTCCACTAGTGTTGTTTTATCATCAACATTGTATCTCAGGGGACGCTGGACCCGCTTTCCAGCAGGTGTAGCTCTCTACCAATGGACAGGTTTCCACCACGAGTGCATGCTCTTACCATCACTCCTATCTGTTGTCACGTGTAGATTTTTTTTTTTTTTAGTTTGTTAAAACAGGTCCTTATGGTCCTGCCTCCATATCCATTCTGGGGAGCATCAGTTCGGTTCCGTTCCACCGGCAAGTTGGATCTTGGAATACATGGTGAACACTCTCACGCTTCCTTCTGTCTGGCGGAAGGAACCCTGACCAGCATTGATTACTCCTATTCGGTTGGATTGACTGTCAGCTTGCCCTGCCCTAGTTTCCCTCTCAGATACCCTATTGGTTCTGTCGCATGGACTGCGATTAACAAGAAACCTGGGAGAGTTGTCTTCCTTCTGAGACGATAGTCTCAATTTGCCCTTCACTGAAGTGTGTTCCTTGCAGATGTTGGGATGAACCACTTCTTCCAGATCAGCTTGTTATCTGTGACTGTTGCGATATTTCCTTGTAGCAGCCAGTCTCTCGTGAAGGCTCGTCTCCTGAGTGTGAGTCTTTATGGTTTGCCTTTTGTGGCTGTCATCACTCTCCTCCATCTGCATCGAATCTCTGTCTCCACCATCCTTAGCAGAAGGGTTCACACTTCTTCCTTGGTCACTTCTGATCCCTCGATCGCCTTGGCGCATCTCCTTTTCCATATGACCCATAGGGCCAGCTGTCTGAGAACGTAGAACCTGACCTCCTTGCCCCCCCTGAGACTGTCGGGGATGTTAGATAGGAGTAGTAGGATATTCAAGGGGGTAATGGTGGGTGGTGGGGCTGAGAAGAGGAGGGTCCATAGGCTTCGGATTCTGTTCCAGATCCAGGCCGCCTCAGCACAGTAGAGGAGGCAGTGGGGCATGTCTTCCGTCGCATTGACGTTGCACATAATACATGGTTCTGAGTTGTCGGGGTCTGTGTGCTTTCTCGTCTTGTGGAGACACTGGTTGAGAGGGAGAGCAGTGTGTGCTATTAGCCGCTGCATGCTTTGAATTCTAACTGGTCTGATGGGCAAGTACTTGGCCCACGGGATAGACATGGATTCAGTCAGTTGCAAGTTCAAAATCCCTCTCTACTTTTCCTTCGGTATGGGTCTGAGTTTGTGGTTTGTAGGCCTAGATCGTATCCAAACTTTACGTCGTATTCGAAGATTGTTATGGATTCAGTCAGTTGCAAGTTCATAATTCATCTCGACTTTACCTTCGGTATGGGTCTAAGTTTGTGGTT